GGTGAACTAAGTTCCTGAGAAGTTCTACCTTCCTAGGGGCAAACAGCTGGATAAATTAACCTGGGGAGAACATGACATGACTATCTCCTGATTGATTTAGAGCTGGTCTCTTGAAGAGGTTGCCTGGGCTCCATGGATGGCTCAGCTACTTGTAAAACAGTTGGTGAATCCCTGCGGTTCACAACCCTCATCATTAAGGTAAATCATTGCCAATGTAGGAGGTTTTAAATCAAAAATGGGCATATTAGATCACTTTATATGTCTGTCTACTCTAGTATCCTCTCTTCATCAGTGGTTGATAGCAGATATTTAGAGAAAACTATACGAGAAAGGCAAGCATGTAGTGGTAATTCTCTGGTGTAGTTGCCAGGCTGTGGGTTCTTGAAAGCTTCCTAGAATCTTGCTGTTTAATAGCACTTAATAGCTCTGTCCACAGCTTCGTAAAATCATTTTTTGAAATCTGTTTTAGGCATCCATAGCACTGTTGGCAGCAAGCTCCAGAATTTAATTATGCATTTGATGAAGCGCTTCCTTTTGTTAGCTTTGAATCTGCCACTTCGTAACTTTATTTTATGCAGTTCCTTCTGCATAATCCTGCCATGTGAGCAAACTGCCCAGAGGTCGCCAAGACTTTTCAAGCTGGTGTTTCATCTACAGCTGCATGCCTGTGCAAAAGTTGTGGTTATGCATATGTGTCAAGAGGAGGTTGTTTTTCACTTAACCAAATCCATACCAACACAACTCCCAATTTTAAATAGCATTACAATAGCGTGAATAGGTCTGCCAATGTTTTAACTCTTCTCTCTTCTTGGAAGTGAAAGCTTTACCAATGTAGAGTACTGACATATGAGCGTGACCATGCTTGCTCAGAGAGCAGGTGTAGTCCAAAGAGCTCGTCTTTCAGCCATAGCTTTGTACAAACACTTTTCCAGGGTGTTTCTGCTGTGGAGGTGGTGTGTGTCAAGGCTGTGCTCCATACCAGTCTATAACTCACTGGCAGAAAACAGGGCTTTGCTGCAGGACTGATGCCAGCAAGACAGCTCACCCACCTTTGCTGTCCAGACCCGTACACAGGCCAACAGAAGTCTCTGGTAATCCAGCCTCTAGGGCTAAACCAGCCTGATGGAATGCAAAGCTGTCCCTCAAGTGATTTGAAAGAAAAAGCACAAACATCCTCATGAGGTCTAAGGAGTGTCCCTGCCCAATACCTGTACTAATGGCACGAAGTTCACTGAAGGCCTGTGCCTATACATAAAAAGCCATGTCCCCAAGACCATATCTGAAAGTCTGATAAAAGACTTGATTTTTCAGGAACCCCTGAGTTTCTGTTAAAAGCAGTGAGAGAGATTGTGAGCTCTGCTCATTTCAAATTCAAGTCATTTACTCAGAAGTCTAAATATGGAGTTGGACTTTTATTTTATGATATACTGGCCTTTGTCTTGGGCTGTTGAAAAGAGAACATGATAAGCTAACAACTGGCATAAAATTTTCAGTTACTTTGTAAATGTTACAGCGGCAGAGAACCAAGTAGAATTACTGAAGGGTCAAAGGCATAGATTAGAAACATCATTAAGGAATGGTAAGAATTACTGATAAGTTCTAGTGTCTTTGTTTTATTACTTCCCTATATCAGTCAGGTCTGCAAACACACTGATTCACGTTTAATTGAACAACAGCTTCATTGTGAAACCTGCCATTCTTAGCTGCAGTATAGAAAATATCTTTAAAAACACCACCCCCGCTTTCTAACATTGTACAGGCAAAGAATTACAGCTCATCTGCCATAGGATATATACTACAAGTGGCATCATCTTCCTTAAGTCTTGTTTTCTCTGTCACATGTGGTGTGACAAACAGCAGTCTGGGGACCTGCGTGCTGCGTGTGCCTTTGTGAGGAAGGGCTTCCCTGCACCTGCAACAGGCCCTCTCCTTCTCCCACTGCTCCCTCATTCCCCTTGTGTGTGTGCTTTGGTCACGACCGGCAATCTCTGGGTCGATGTCCCAGAGCTGCAGTCCAGGGCAAGGCAGGTGATGCTGTGTGGAGATGTGTAAGAGTGACCTTCTCTTTGAGTTCCCAAAGCCCCATCCATGCTCTGGATTGTGCACAAGCAAACACGTGTCCCACTTTCCCGAGAACAAGCAGACAGTGAAGCATGTTCTGCTTTCGTTGTCCATGGGCTGCAGCATACATTCCCTATGGTCAATCCTGTATATTTGATTGCTCTCATATGAATAAAAAGGATTAGCTGTCTCTGCAGAGCATTTGGCCTACATTTCATCACTTTGCTTGTGAAGCTGAGCTGGATAGGAGTGTGAAAAAAAGAGCTTGTTAAAGCCTTGGTTTTGACACGGTTATGTCAGCCAAAAAAAAAAAATATTTGTCTCAATACCTCATTTCATTTTAAGGGATGTATTCCTTTGGTGCTCTTAGCTGTGGCTTTCACTGCTGTACCAGCAAGCCCTACCTTGAATATATCATGTGGTGCAGGCATGGTAGGGTACACAGTCCAGCTTGGCTGCGACTCCAGCTGTATGGTGCTGGCACCTACTCAATCTAGGTGGTAATCTGGTGTCCTTGGTGCAACTCCTGGGAGAGGTAGGCATCTATTGCAAAGTTAGGCTTGAGGAGGACACATGAGAGGCTTTTAACCTGCCTCTAATTTCAGACAGTGCATCCATGCGATCAAGAGTGCATTCAACTCAGCTTACTTCATTTCCAGCACACAGAGCACAGTGCTGTGGTTTGGAGGAGAATGGATGGTCCTTTAGGTCAGAAGACAGATGCAAACATGTATGCAGGATGCCCCATGCTATGTAATAGATCCCTGTGTCTGCCTCAGACCATGTGAGATTTCACAGCTCTAGTGTCACCATAAAGTTAGCTCACCAGAGTGATCTAAAGTGACATAACCAAGGTAAAAGTGAACTTCAGTACAGATAAGCCCTTCATCTTTTAAGTCGGTTATTTATATTAGATCAGTCTGTGTCAGTCACAGTATCTGACCTAACAGCCCATTCCACTACCGGGGTAAGGATTTGTCTGGTTCTGTCATTTTTTTGGCATTGTTAAACTCCTCGTGCAGTCAAGACTGCTAGAAGGAGGCTGGAAACTTCTCTGGACCAGTTACACCTTCCCTCCTGCTCAGGATTTTAACCTTTAGTCATTTTATTTTTAGCTAAAATTGCTGAAAGCTCTTTCCTCCCAGTCTGTGCACTGTAGATTATGAAAACCTAATGAGAAAAGCTAAAACTCATTTGCTCAGAAAGAATAATTCCAACTCTGTCCTTTGGCAGATGAGAAAATTAGGCAAACTAATGCATTTGTCATAGACTCAGTTGAATATGCTGTTTTATTCAACTTCATGTAAGGGTGCTGTAATAAGGGTCTAGGCATAGGTCCCTGAGAGGTTAATAACTCCAACGTTGTTTCTATAGGGCTTTTCAGAGCACTGTAGTTTTCCAGATGGAGGACTGGCAGCCTGAGGAAAGATCTAGATCCAAGGGATACTGGTAATAGAGAAGGCAAGATGGGTGGGTATCTATGAGTGTTACAAGAGAATTGTGTGTCTACAGACCTCCACCTGAGGACTGTGCCCAGCTCTGCTGTGGACCTTGTGAGCTTCGGACAGATGGGTCTATGTGTTATGGTGCCAAACAAAGTATAACTATAGTTTGATTTGTGAGTGTTGCCTCCAGTTCTCTGGTAAACATCTGTCTAGTGTGGCCAAGGCCAAGTCACTTTTTCCCATTTCTCACTTTCTGCCTTAGGAAAATGTAAGAAGTAGTGCTCTTGTCCTAAGTATTGTGTGAAGATCCAGCACTGGAAAAGTGCTTATATATATGTTCTGAACATTACTGATGATCCCAGAATGCAGAAACAGTCCAGCACAGTAAGTCTAGTCTGATATTTGAGAATAAATAAATCTCAAATTAAGACTATAATATTTGAGAGTAAATTACCTAGCCTATAGATGCTATTCACCATTTTTCTGTCTTGCTCATTTTTATGTTTTATTCCAATGTATATTTGAATCTCTCTACACTGCCCAACCTCATTCTGCCATTTGGTTGGGGGAAGAGAAAAGTCTAAATTTGTGGCTTATATATGAAGAAGTCTTTAAGCTGCCCACCAGATTCTCCTGTTGGCTCCTGTGGAGTGCCTGAGGCTGGGATCATCCTGTAAAACTTGCAGGCTTTGGTATTTCTGTTCCGACTGCTTTGCTGGCATATTAAAGTAGACAAACGGACTCACTCTATGTCCTCAAGAACCTAGGCATAGCAGTGACAATAAGAGAGAGGTATTTGAGGTTAGAAGAAATTTGCATTCATGCTAGTGTAATAATTTCAGGCTCCTGGAAAGATATAGGATTTTCCCCTCTTTAAAAAAAAAAAATAAGTGCTATAGGCCAAAGCTGCATCCCCAAGAAAGCAGTGACTATGGTTTTGCACAGAAAGGCATGTCTGTCAGAGGGAAAAAAAGATTATAAAAAAGTAGTTTTCTAAAAGGAAAATTGGTTTTAATGGAAAACATGTATCCAACGAAATGCCTGAAAAATTTGACTGCAGCAAATTTCTGACTTTATGTTTCAGTCAGATAAACTATCAGCCTGACTGAAGAAGTAATGGAATGAAATTATACTGTCTGTGTTACACTGGAAGGGCAGAATAAATGATCCCTAGGCTTCAGTCTCAAAGGACCGTGGCATTTTCATGAATTTTCTACACTGTGTTGCTTGGAGCAAGACACCAGCTAGTTCACTCTTCCCGTCTTGCCTCTGCTGTTTGAGTCTGTTGCAAAGCCTGATCTGTAAGGGGCAGAAAAAGAGTGCAGTGGGGCTAGATCTGCAAAAAGCACTTCCAGCAGTTCTAGAATGACAGTGGAGAGAAAAGCTTCTTACCTGAATACTCATGTATGTCTGGCCTCCCACAGTTCTGCTCCTGGCACTTCTTTTGGATGATCCCAAGCAAGTTCCTTCTCTCTCTTGAATGGCTTCTTTACAATGGAAAATGGAGGGAAAAGTCATCTAGGTGAACTAGAAGCATGCATTTCAAATAGGTGAGTCATCTGCATTAAAGTGGACATTTTTAGTAAGAATAATGGTGGGCTAAATTAAATGTTCTTCTTAAGTTAAAATGCCCACATGAGGCTTTAATGTGATTTAATTAAGTTTTTAAAAGTTTCATTAGCTTGCAAAGTTCATTCAAATTAGGATTCTGGAGTATCTTCATGTAGGTAAACCCATAGTTTTTCCCTCTGATGAAATGGGGACTTCACCACCTTAGAAAAGCAATGCTGCCAGACTCAGTTCACTGATACCTAGAAAGCACTTTGTTCTGTCAGAGGCAGGAGGCCAAATGCCTGTAGTTCTCTCCTATGAGTGCAGCACACACAGGCTTTGGGCAGCTGCACGTGGCTCTGTGTGAGGCTCCCAGCTGCAGCCTTCTCCCAGACACATACCAGCTAGCAAGGACGGTGCCCTCACCTGCATGGAGCCATATCCAAGGTACCAAAACACTGGTTCTGCTCTTTCTTCTGCCACCAGCTTCCCATGTCCCACACGTACCTACCAGCAAGAAATGGGGCCATAACAATATATATGCATTTACTCTTCACTGTGTTTTGAAGTCAAGAGGAGAGAGGGGGATTTGCAGGCTTGTTTTGAGTGCCTGATGTGGGTGACTTTGCTGTGCCATTTCATTATGGGAACTCAACTGCAGCAGATTTCTGGAAACCTGATCCCTGAGATAAACGTTGAAGAACTGAAACAGCAGTATCTGTCCAGTGCTTTAGACTGTCAGTTCAGAGGCAGGTCAAAGCCTCCATGACCTGAACAGGGCTGTCAGTATAAGGACAGCTGCTCTCAGTCATAGGCACCCAGTGGACCTAAGTGGAGGCAAAAGTTACATTAAACAGCCACACTGCTTTCCAAGTCACATGAGGCCTACTGACATGCATTTTCTAAGAGACTAATGACATCTAAAGCTCTTTGAGTAAACTATTTGCTTTACGTTTATAACAGGATAATCATTTATAACAGGATAATCATGCTTGTTGTGGGAATTAAGCCACTGATCACCATTCCAGTGACCAAAAACATTCTCCTTGAGAATAAAATACACATCTTTATCATCAAATTCTGCCTCATTAATAATGAAAGATTCTCTTACAAAGCTATCAGGTTTAAGAAAGCAGCCATCTTACAGACCATGCCAGCCTCTTTCCAGATGGCATTTTGAATACAATATAGACCAGGACCTTTGCTCTCCAATCCATTATGCAATAATCAGTGCTTATAAATTAAGAATGTGCCTAGCAGAATGTGTCTTTCCATGTGGCAAGCCTCGTGCAGCAAGGGCAGACTGTGAGTCACCACAGGTGACATAGAGGCCACCTCAGTTGGTTGTTTTAGCTGAAACATGAGAGGCAATTCCCACGGGCTAGGAGGCTGCATCTGAAGAAGGAGCTTGGGGTCAAAGATTCAGAGCTCTTTATGTACTCTTATAAGCTAGTATGTTGTCTGGTGGTGTTGACATGTGGGTAACTGCTCAAATACCATCATGACAGTAAGATAGGTACCTCACTCATCAGGCAAACTACCACATGTCCACTGAAGTTTATGGTTCACTTGTCACCGCACACCCCATGGGGCAGCTGATCTGTGGGCCCCCTGAGGCTTGTGGTGACTTACAATGCAAGACTAGGGACAGCTTTCAACCATCTTGTTAAACCACAATGAGACGCAGCAGTGGACAGGCCAGGGCAGGCTCCAGCTGTGCACTGCCGTCACCTCCGTGCAGTTGTTGGCCTCTAAAGCTCACTCAGGTGAACTTGCAGAGTCTGCAGTCACACTGCCGAGCTGGAGGGTGGTGCAACATGCTGGATACAAACTGCTTCTCCAAAGTGAGACATAGATTAGGTGAGGACTACGCCCAGTTTACTTAGCTGTCAGTGTACTGCCTGGTTTGGGAAATCCCTAGGCGGGGGGACTACTGGCACCTGGGAGGTCACACTGGTCACTGTGTACTTGCCCTCTTCTTAAGCTCTTTTTCTAAATATTTGGTACTGACCTCAGCTGGAGAAGATGCACTGGATTAAATGGACCTTTGGTGTGTTCCAGGTGTTGCCAGTCTTATGTTCTTACAGTCGCCAAAACTAGCTTATAATAAAACAGGTTAGCTAAGGCCATTTTGATATTGAGTGTTCATTTGTGAAGTGCTTTGAATATTAGGCAATAGTAGCTAATCTTTGATTACCAGTAGTGACTGCTTTTTCAAAAGAAAACATAGGTGGGGAGAAAAACGAATTTCTGTTCAGTTCCTGGTCCTGGTTGCCTGGTGAATTCTTTTACCGCGCAGAAGAACAGATTTGCATGTTGGTATTTTGGGGATGTTTCCCATGAGAAAAAAAGTGCAACTCAAAACTCTAGATGACTTGAGTGTCTTGTCACGATTATATCCTCCAAGGGTTTCTGTCATTCAGATGATAAATAGGGTTTAAATAACAGAAAAACAACAGTACTGCCTCATGTAAATAACAGCAGCATCGCTACATGCTACCTGCCGCATTGTTAGTGCAGACATGATGGTTTGCTGATGGTGTTCACTTCCCTGTGCCCAGCACTTGTGTCCTGCTCAGCCAGAACTGAGATTTTCTGAGAAATGCCTGATCAATCTGTGGACACCAGTGACACAAGTGCCCAGATCCCATCATGCTGTTGCAGAATGGATTCATTTTGACACAGGTCTGCTACAAATGACCATGTCAAATGTATCCTGATTATCTGAGCACAAAAGCAAAGCAGGTTTTCCAAGGTACACAAGCATCTAAACCCACAAAATATCCAACTTTTCAAGTCATTCACACAGTTCAGGTTCTTAGCTCCTACTGATTACAATAAGAAATTATATGAGAATTATAATGAGAAAAGTGCTTTTTAAACACCTGTTAGATGTGTGTCTGCCTCCTTTGGCCTGTATGTGAATGCCTCAGCTATGTGATCTGCTCCAGTTCACAGGACTGGTTGAAAGAGAAAAGGTAATTTCAGACTCCAATGCGGTTACCAAGCCACCACATTTGTATCAGCAGAATGAAGACAGGCAGTTTCCATCACAGCTGCACAATGTCTTTTGTCATGATAACTGCATGTTCGGGACTGTAGAGAGATTCTCCAGTGGAAATGTGTTTGGTTTTCACCTGTGATATGTCACTGTGTTGCAAGTGATGGTACAGTTTTGGTCATCCCAGAATGTCACAGTGGAACCAGACAACCCAAAGCAAAGCAAAGTCCACCAAGAAGCCCACAGTGGGCAGCAGGCTTTTCTGTTTGCAGAGACATCTACCTTCAGTTGATAAGAACTTTTAGTGAAAACAACGCTGGAGTAATCTTTAAAATTATCACATACATCTGTGAGTTGTTTTAGGGAAAAGACCTCCCATGAGGAGAAGGAGAAAGGCCTCTGGCTGGCATTGTAAATCATGTAGCATCCCACTGATATTTAGGAACAAGTTGAACCTTAACTTACTATTCCCATTGCCAGCTCCTGTGTGGTGTTGCTTAGATGAGTCTTGCTCCTGATGGCTAAAGATAGAAATGTTTTTCCACTCTGATTTTGTTTTTAAGCTCCATTAGAGCAGGCCTCAAAATAGTTTGGGAGTTTATTTATTTCTCATTCTTTGACTTGGTTTCATGCTGGATATCCCAGGCTGGCTGGTGCTGTAGACAGCAGAGCTCTAATTGGAGCAGACAAGCAGGCTGGTGCCCAAATAGAACCTGCCATCAGAGTTTATGGTTAGGACTGAGTGGAGAGAGAAGCTTCACGATCTTACTGCCAAGACAGAAAACTAAAGGTAGCCTGTTTTACTGGTGCACCGTGCTGCTATCTCCAGTAGGAGCTGAATGGGGACCATTTTGTTAGGACCAGCAGAGGTGAGGCCGTATCAGTCCCCCAGAATTGTGGCTGAGTTCACATAGCTGCCTAAGTTTGGTGGCTGCATACCAGAAAACTGGTTGCTGCTGCAGTAAGGGCTCCAGGTGTCCACTGTCACAAAACACATGCTGTTCTTGCTAGCTTCATAGCTACTTCCTGCATAATGCTGCTTCCTGTGTGGTGATCACTTCCAGATGTGCCAACGAAAACAGGGTGGATTTCATGCAAGAAAGTATTTTCATATTATTTTCTCTGAGATCAGAGTAATTTTTCCCGCATCAGTCTAAAAAAGAAATTCTGGTGATATGATTTTACTTCTGCTGCCTTCACAAGTTGCTTTTGTCTCCATGTGTTGCCTCCATTGTTGACAGCTGGCAGATTTCACTGTAGCATCCAACAGAATTCTGTACCGTCCACCAGAAGTATCCATCCCAGTTATCAAACATCAGGCACACAGCACATCGTCTCTGTTGCATCTCCCTTTTCTGTCTCCACCTGCCAGCCAGTCCACCACAGAAACCTTCCCTTTTTCTGCTCATAGTCACCAGTTCAACACAAGGTGAATCTTTTTTCTGTCACTGAGCATATAGGCCTTCTCCTGCCAGGACTACTGAAAAGCCTTCACCAACTGGTCATTGAGGCAGGGAAAAATGGTTCAGCTCACGTGGGTTAAACCAAATCAGGACTGAAATGATTTATTGATTTATTAAGGATATTCTGTGCACTATACATTCAGGATCTATGTCAGCAATACAGCAGTTCAGCCACAAGGTTAGACACTTATAAAACACTAATAAATTCCTGCAAGTTCCTAAACACACTTTTGTAACTAATCTCCAGGCACGCAGGCACCAACTCCTCTGTCAGTGGCATGGGGGCCACCTCTGGGAGCACAGGTCCTCCCGCTTACACCCCGCTCCCACTGGGGTTGTGGCCACTCCAGCTCTGGGGGTGCCCATGCTACTCACTACAATCAGCTAGTGCACCTGCTGTGAGAAGGCATGCCAGCAGGTCACACACACCCTCCCAAAGGGTCAGGCCACATGCTGGGTGCCAGCTTATGACAGCGTCTCATGAATGGGGAGCTGCTGCATCTGAGCTCAACAGTGGTTGTGATGTGCCAGACTGGCTTTTGGCAGTCTGAGGCCTCTCCTTGCTCCATTACCATTTTCTATGTTTCTTTTGTATAGCCTTTCAGATCAACTCATTCTGTGCCTCAAAATTGTCATTCCCTGGTTACTGTTTAATCCAGCTGACAGTTGCCATCCTCTTTAGCGTGATCAGCTAAGGCCTGGTGATTGTTTCCCTCTTCAGTAAGATCGGTTTGGGGTAAATGCCCTCTCAGACACTTTGGGGTTTTCCATCCGTACATGCTGTTTACAGTTACTTATCTATCTTATCAGCTGTTGTCTTCCACAATGTTTTTATCCAAGTGTGAGCTGTGCAGGCACTCCCACACAACTATTGAACTGATATTAAAGAATAGTGGCCCCATATCTGGATTTCGGGGGAAGCTATTTCTACATAAATTTACTTTCTCAGTGCCTACCAGTTCACGAATTTTTGAACTTAGTTACCTCAGCTTGCATAGCTACATACAATTAATCTGTTCAAGTGTAATCATTGTGCTCAGAGGATCACTGCATATGTCTATAAATCTAATCCCTAGTGACCCCACATCTGTAAGGGGGACAAGGAGAGAAAGAAGGAAGACTTGAAAGCTACTTTTGTCATACTGTGTTCTGAGAGACTACATATTCTGCTTGAGTTGATGTTAAATCGTGTAGCAGCCACTGAGTGGGCTTTCTTTCTCGTGAACCTCAGAGAGGTTGGCAGAGAGTTGGAGGACAATCCTAAGGCAGTGTCCAGTAAGACCAAGAAACTGATGTGGGGATGAAACCACCAGCACATGCCTTGCTGGGGCACTGAGGGCAGCTCTCAAGGGTCACACCTCTCCCCTTCAAGGCTTCTTGTAGCTCCTGGAAGAGTATATAATGCCTGTTTGCCACCAGGCATCTTGATCGTGGTCTGGGGGGCTGCAGCAGCTCTTGTTGCCTGTTTTTTCCTCACCCTCCCTCACCTGTTGTGTGTGATGCAGGCTTGGTGCCAAGCTCTTGGCCAACTGCCCTTTCCAGCTCCTGGGCATGCCAGCCCGAGGAGCCCCAGTGGCAGTGTTTGCAGTGGCAGCCCATGAATAGTAACTTTCTGAGGCCATTTCACAATCTTCTGTCACCTTATCGTTAGGATTTGGTCCTGCAGTCTGTGAGAGGCTCCCCACCCTGGCATGCCTAACTCCTTCTGCTGCAGATCATCCACAGCCACTATCAGAGATGTTTCTAGATCACACATTTCCCAGAGTTCCTGCATGTGACTGCCAGCAGCACAGTCTCATTTCCCCTACAAATAGTCACCAAGCCAGATAAATCACTACTTTGTTTTGCTCTGTGCTTGGGCACTACTTTTTTGCTGCTACATTAGAAGTAATTGTTCATCTTCCTGCTCCATAGTGAGACAGCTTTTCTTGCCCTAAGTTCTTTCTCCAAGTAGCACAAGGCAGGAGACCCAAAGGAAGCAGGAATCTCATTGATGGCTATGCCCAAACCCACCGGAGAAAATCAGGGTGCTCTTCACATGCTAACTGCTTAAGGCAGTGAGAAAAACCCTTAGCAACTTCTGTCTTGTAGGTTGTTCCTTCCTAGGTGCTGGTGCACAGCTTTCCCCAGCCCCATCCTTCATCCTGCAGCTAATCTCTTGGACATACATTGCTTTGCACATTTTGTTCTTGGCAGTTTCCAGTGTTGCCTCAGGCCCTTATCACCTTAAAAGATCAGATCATATAGTAGTGGCCTTAGAGACAGCCTGATTGATATCTGCACAGCCAAACAAACAGTAAATTTGAATAAAATTTGGCACCTTGTTGCCTATTAGATCTGCTGATTCTGAGAGGATAATTCACAGACATCAAGTAAAGTGTGTGTACTGAGCATACTTGGGACAGAGTCTTTGGTTGTGTGAAAGGGCTTGTAGGGGTGGTGTGCAACACTCATGGAGAGCCTTTTGCCCATTCCAGATCCTGCACACACCACCTGTGCAGTCATGAGGATTTGATATCGCTGGACACTGCCAACCCAACAGGACTTCTCTGTGTATTTATACAGAAATACAGACGCTTGCAGGAAGAGGAGAGAGTTTCCCAGTGATCCCTGAACAAACACTGGTGAAGCCAGGAGCTCCCGCAGCTCGGCGTTCACCAGTACCACTAGAGCTTGTAGTGAAGGTGTGAGTGTGCTCAGAGGAAGATCATGTTTCTGGGTGGCCGTTTACACTGTAATTGTGATACAGTTATTTAGATACTCTCTAGTTGCTTTCTCCAAACTCATTCTCTGCAGTCATGCTGTGGAAGAGTGTATTCTTGTTCAAATCTTCCCTGATATTAATATCACCATGAGCCTCCCTGAATATCCCATCCCTATTTTATTTTGGATGACCCCCTTTCTTAGGCAGAAGGTAATTAGGAGAGGGCTGCACCAGCTGCTGCTGTTGCATGTGCCTTGAACTAACTCATGTGGTGTTTTCCTCTGCAGACCAGATGAACTGGGTCCTGGCCCATGGATAACACGAGACACAGCATTCAAGGGCAGGCTGTCTGGTGAGTAGGTTTGATGCTTGGGTGACACCACCACACACCTATACATAATTCCCAAACTGCTGCCCTGTGTAGAGTAGTATAACTGGGCTGTAAATTGTATACAGGGCTTTAATGTTTCAGTTCCCCAGTGGCCAGTGCAGATTGGGCGTCCCAGCAGCTGGGAAAAACAGACTAGTTGGTGAGAGCAGCAACTGTGCTGAGATCTGGGAAGTTAAAAATGGGTGTTTTTTCCTTCAGCAGTGCTCATCTATTTATTGGCTTGATTGTAATCACAGCTGCCTTAACTTGTAAGTAATACTGTCCTCCCTGCAGCGTAGATGATGATCACTTGGTTATCAGATACTGCTGTCTATGTTTGCTTTTGTTATCACCCACCATCAACAGGTCTCTTTGAAAGACCAGCTCTGACCAGACACCAAGGAGAAAAGAGGGATTCCAGTTATCCTCTTCCCTGTGGTTGACCAGTTCTTTCCCATCACACGAACACCACTGAGAGCTGATTCTCCTAATGTAGGATGCAAATCCATGTGGCACACCTGGTTCCCTTTGATCATGTATAATTTATCATGGAGCATTCAGCAAAGTAGACACTCCCAATTAAATACAGCCTTCTAGGCACATGACCTCTCTGTGCCTCTAACCTACATGGCTTTGAGAAATCTGGTTTTATGCCTGAAGCTAAGGAGGCCATGCTCAGCCACTGCCATGAATGGTGGTGTGACCTTGAGGGTATCTGGCCTACCTGGCCCCAGTGTGGATGCAGTAAGTTAAGGATGACAGCCTAAAAAAGTAGGTCTCAGTTGCTTCAGGGGCTGGTTCTGGTCTGTAGCCATGGATCACTTGGAGAAGGGTACCACATTATGACTTGTCCCCTGACTACTAGTTTTAATGGCTCAGGGAGGGTAGGAGACAATGGTGGCCACTTCTTGAGAGCTGAGAAGAACATGCTTGAGTTGGCTGGGTGGTAGGGTGGTGGTCAGTTCCAGGCTAGGTCATTCTTGCAGGTAATCTCCAGAACACACACCTGATAGGTGGTACCAAGGAACGGCCCATCTTATACGCATTCAGCGCAATTCCCAGATCTCAAAAAAAAGGAGGATGGAGTTAAAGTATCAGGAGCTTAAGGGTAAGAAAATGTGGAATACAATGTTGCAATCCAATAGGAAATTCAGAGGTAAAACCAATATGCTTGGACTTCCAGATGTAATTTAACTGTCCTGTAATGGTACCGTGGGATCAAGGCACAGTAGTTAATTGTGATCGCAGAGGTGTCCCTGCAGAGAAACCCCAAGCCCCTGCGG